GCTTATTACCACAAAACACAGATCAAGTTTGAATTTTGGTGGTGTCACTTTTACCGTTCTAGAGTTAAGCTCATTTACAAATTATGGAAAAGTTGCTGAAATTTTTGTTTTCGTTCTCTAACTAAATAGATATAAGAAGATGTGGTATGAGTGCCAATGAGACAACTCTCCATCCAAGTCACAATTAAGTTTGCCTCAACCAAATGTTATGAAACTTGTACGCAATGCTTATTACCACAAAACTCTGATCAAGTACAAATTTGGGTAGCGTCACTTTTACCATTCTTGAGTTATGTCCCAACATGTATATAACATTATATGCAAAAAGGGGGGGTGGCTGCATCATCTGTTTCTCATGGACACATTCCCCATAATTTTTCAAACATCTGCAAAAAGATGTGGTCTTTCTATATGACCTTTTTTCGTGACATTGCAATCACAAAATCTAAAGGAAAACAAGAAAATATGATGTCATAATCAAATTTTGACCAATGAACAACTGAAATCAAACAAAAACACATAGTCAGTAGGTGGGGAAAGTATAAATCTGTTAAGAATTAGAGAAATAGAGGTTTGTTCAGTTATTTCTTTAGACTCAGGGTAATTTAAAGCTTTACATTTTATTTAGACAGACCTGTCTAATTAGGAAGACACTATATATATTATATGTTCTGAGATCTAGATGGTTTTTTTTTTGTGTTTTTGGATTGCTGCTTGTATCATTATGGAATCAAACCCATAATGTTCTTTTAATCATAAAAATGAATCACTAATTAGAGCAACACATATTGAACTCCTCAGGGTAATAAGCATTGTTATGCGTTTACTTTTCTACATTGGCTAGAGGTATAGGGGGAGGGTTGAGATCTCATAAACATGTTTAACCCCGCCGCATTTTTGCGCCTGTCCCAAGTCAGGAGCCTCTAGCCTTTGTCAGTCTTGTATTATTTTTAATTTTAGTTTCTTGTATACAATTTGGAGTTTAGTATGGCGTTCATTATCACTGAACTAGTATATATATTTGTTATGGGGCCAGCTGAAGGACGCCTCCGGGTGCGGGAATTTCTCGCTGCATTGAAGACCTGTTGGTGACCTTCTGCTGTTGTCTGTTCTATGGTTGGGTTGTTGTCTCTTTGACACATTCCCCATTTCCTTTCTCAATTTTATCAGAACAATGATTGTCTTGGTCCTGTAAACATAGGTTTGCATGATTGTTAGGAAACAATAAACTTCAATAAAAGTTGCAAAAGTAAATTTAATTTATAAAAAAGTAGTTAAAAAAAGAAACTAGCTATTAAGAGAAAATATCATTCAACATGTTTAATAAACCAATCTGACATTTAGCTCTATAAAAATAGAGATGTTAATAATTCATGGTGACATTAATGAAGAAGTGGTTCTTACTGCAGGTTTATTTATGTTGTCATGCAGTGAGATGATCAATAATGATATATTCTGAAACCAGTTAGGGTACCAGTCAGATCATCAATACTTAATATTTTAGTACCAGTTAGGGTACCAGTCAGATCATCAATACTTAATATTTTAGTACCAGTTAGGGTACCAGTCAGATTATCAATACTTAATATTTTAGTACCAGTTAGGGTACCAGTCAGATTACCAATTCTTAAGATATTCTGGTTCCAGTTAGATTATCAATGCTGCACCATTTGACTGCCAGTCAGAAATGTCAATTATTCTGGTACAGTTAATTTAATACTGAGATACTTTAGTACCAGTAAGAATTATCTAGACTGAGGTCTTCTGGTACCAGTAAGAATTATCTAGACTGAGGTTTTCTGGTACCAGTAAGAATTATCTAGACTGAGGTTTTCTGGTACCAGTAAGAATTATCTAGACTGAGGTTTTCTGGTACCTGAGTTAGATTATCAATACTGATATATGTACCGACTATCAGGTTGTCTGCATATTGAAATCGTAAAATATCAGCTGAGTGTCACAATATTACCAGTACCAGTTAGATTATCAATACTGGTATATGATCTGGTACCAGTAAGAATTATCAGTTTTGTTTAGATTGTGTGATCTGGTACTAGTTAGATTATCAATACTGGTATGATCTGGTACCAGTAAGAATTATCAAAACTGATCAGATATTTCTGGTACCAGTAAGTTTATCAATACTGATATAATGTGGTACCAGTCAGTATTATCAAGATTGATTCAGGTATTCTGGTACCAGTTAGAATATCTCTTTATAGGAGTGATTGCCCAGACCCTTAAATAAGGATTTTTTTTACCCTCTTTTGTGTTTTGAGTAAAAACTAAAGAAGATAGAGAGAAACTAAACAGACTAAATGATCAGCAATACAAGATCAACAAAACAGAGATTTTTCTTATGAATTCTATTCTTGTCTTCAATGTTGGAGAGTGTCCTTTGTTGAATATGCTACTATGAATATGTACTGTTGTGCGTTTGTTTTTTCTACATTGGCTAGAGGTATAAGGGGCGGGTTGAGATCTCAAAAAACATGTTTAACCCCGCCGCATTTTTGCGCCTGTCCCAAGTCAGGAGCCTCTGGCCTTTGTTAGTCTTGTATCATTTTTAATTTTAGAAAGTCTTATAACAACAACACAGTGTTGTTGTTATAAGACTTTCTACATTATTGTGTTTCATCATAACGACCCTGCATACCCGAGGTATCCACTTCAGGGACTCTAACTCACTACAGACTCACCAGGCGTTGGTTCACTTTCGTTTGTAATTTTTAATTTTAGTTTCTTGTGTATAATTTGGAGTTTAGTATTACGTCCATTATCACTGAACTAGTATACATATTTGTTTAGGGGCCAGCTGAAGGACGCCTCCAGGTGCAGGAGTTTCTCGCTACATTGAAGACCCATTGGTGGCCTTCGGCTGTTGTCTGCTCTATGGTCGGGTTGTTGTCTCTTTGACACATTCCCCATTTCCATTCTCAATTTTATTACATAGACCAAGGTGAGCAACACAGGCTCTTTAGAGCCTCTAGTTTTCCTATCTGATGAGTTAAGCCCATTTCAACTGATTTCTTTAGTTTGTTCTTATGTTGTGCTGTTACACCACTGTCCCAGGTAGGAAGGGTTTTTGGTCTCTGGTAAATATTTGTCTTATTGGCAATCATACCACAACTTTTTATATTTATATGGATGTTGAGATGCTTGTGTATGAAGCTCTAAGAAAAGGGGGGACATCCAAGAATTTTAAGATATAGTTTTGAAATACTGGAATAGGAAGCTCAGGGAGGGTATAAGGTTGGAGATGGGAGTACAAGATCCACCATTAAAGATGCCTACTGACAAATTTAATGTAACAAAGACAGCTACAAAATTTCTTTCAATTGTCAAACCATTAAAGACTGGAACAAATTATCCTCGACATAACTAAAAATACCACTACAGAAACCTTCAAGGGTGCACTCACTCACGATGTGCTTCTTGATACCTATCCACACCTGAAGTAAACAGGCAATCATGTTTTTATCTTAAATTAAAAAAGAATAAAATAAAAAATTAAATATTAGAAAAATTAGATAAAAATGAAAAATAGTAAAAATTAATAATATAACAAATATAACAAAAAAATTTATTGTGGAAAACTAAAAATTTTGTTAATCTACGTTTAATAATACCTAATAAATTATAAATTTGGAAACATTTATCAGGCATGCGCCAGAAAGTAAACATCCGTATATTGATGGTTTTCTGACACTGTAGAAGAAGAAGAAGTAGTATTGTAAAATTGGAAAGGAGACACAAACTAGATAGATATAAGATGTGGTATGAGTGCCAATGAGACAACTCTCCATCCAAGTCACAATTTATAAAAGTAAACCATTATAGGTCAAAGTACGGTCTTCAACATGGAGCCTTGGCTCACACCGAACAGCAAGCTATAAAGGGCCCCAAAAATTACTAGTGTAAAACCATTCAAACGGGAAAACCAACGGTCTAATCTATATAAAAAACAAGAAACGAGAAACACTTATGAACCATATCAACAAACGACAACTACTGACCATCAGATTCCTGACTTAGGACAGGTGCAAACAATTGCAGCTGTTTAAATGTTTTAATGGTACCAAACCTTAAAAAAAACAACTTTTTCTGAAACAATAGTGTAACATCACAACATAGAAAGACACACTATAAGATATCAACTGAAATGGCTTAAAAAACTAGACTCTGTTTCAACATTTCTATTTTTAATGATCAATATGAAAATATAAGGGATCGGGATTCATTTTGTTTCATAAATCATTTAGAGTGATGTACATGTATGAAATAATATTTGAATTATGATTCTTCAGTTTTAGACATTTCACTATATATATATATCAGTGGTTCCCAAGGCTTTGAGAACTCAACTGGACATTTGGTCCAATAAACCATTCTTCTTAACTAGACCAGACTCTTTTTTACAGGACATTTACACATATAATTTAGACTATATTAAAAATTTTACTGGTCATTTGGTCCAGTAATGCATATCACTTAACTGGACCAAACAAATTTTTACTGGACTTTGCCCAATGTCCAGCGACCTTGGGAATGTCTGATATATTGACTTAACAGTTTTCTACAGATAAAAAGAATCAAGTGACCTTATTATTAAATGGAAATGTTTTCAGCAATAACATACATATATATATATATGGATTTAAAAAAAAAAATATCTATGGAGTGAACTTAGAAAAAATCTCATTTGTCTACACATTTTACATGCATTCTACATGTTTATTAATCTTTTTCTGAAACTTTTAATTGATTTTATCTGTAAAATCATAAGTGCTACTTATATCAATTTTAAGATATTCAGATGTTGTTCAACAAATTCTAAAAACATACACAATTTCATTAAAATTTGAAGAACAGCCTAATTAATTATGTTAACCCTGTCTTAAGGCTTTTTACAAATAACTTACGTAAAAATCATTCCAGATTTGAAAAACACAAAATTCTGTTTTTTACTTTGTTTAATTCAGGTTTAATTTATTTTGTAGGTTCTAGATCCAATTTGTCATCAGTTGTTTGAGTTTTACAGATCTAATCAACATGGACTAAGATTGTTCGCTCTGGAGTTTATACCAACATTACAGTGGGTTTATCTGTCTTCTCTGAGTGTTAATGGTAAAAAGGTAAGTTTATATTAACATTACAGTGGGTTTATCTGTCTTCTCTGAGTGTTAATGGTAAAAAGGTAAGTTTATATTAACATTACAGTGGTTTTATCTCTCTTCCCTCAGTGTTTATGGTAAAAAGGTAAGTTTATACCAACATTACAGTGGGTTTATCTGTCTTCTCTTGAGTGTTAATGGTAAAAAGGTAAGTTTATACCAACATTACAGTAGGTTTATCTGTCTTATCTGAGTGTTAATGGTAAACAGGTAAGTTTATATTAACATTACAGTGGGTTTATCTGTCTTCTCTTGAGTGTTAATGGTAAAAAGGTAAGTTTATATTAACATTACAGTAGGTTTATCTGTCTTATCTGAGTGTTAATGGTAAAAAGGTAAGTTTATACCAACATTACAGTGGGTTTATCTGTCTTCTCTGAGTGTTAATGGTAAAAAGGTAAGTTTATACCAACATTAAAGTGGGTTTATCTGTCTTCTCTGAGTGTTAATGGTAAAAAGGTAAGTTTATATTAACATTACAGTGGTTTTATCTCTCTTCCCTCAGTGTTTATGGTAAAAAGGTAAGTTTATACCAACATTACAGTGGGTTTATCTGTCTTCTCTTGAGTGTTAATGGTAAAAAGGTAAGTTTATACCAACATTACAGTAGGTTTATCTGTCTTATCTGAGTGTTAATGGTAAACAGGTAAGTTTATATTAACATTACAGTGGGTTTATCTGTCTTCTCTTGAGTGTTAATGGTAAAAAGGTAAGTTTATATTAACATTACAGTGGTTTTATCTCTCTTCCCTCAGTGTTTATGGTAAAAAGGTAAGTTTATACCAACATTACAGTGGGTTTATCTGTCTTCTCTTGAGTGTTAATGGTAAAAAGGTAAGTTTATACCAACATTACAGTAGGTTTATCTGTCTTATCTGAGTGTTAATGGTAAACAGGTAAGTTTATATTAACATTACAGTGGGTTTATCTGTCTTCTCTTGAGTGTTAATGGTAAAAAGGTAAGTTTATATTAACATTACAGTGGGTTTATCTCTCTTCCCTCAGTGTTAATGGTAAAAAGGTAAGTTTATACCAACATTACAGTGGTTTTATCTTTCTTCTCTGAATGTTAATGGTAAAAAGGTAAGTTTATATTAACATTACAGTGGTTTTATCTCTCTTCCCTCAGTGTTTATGGTAAAAAGGTAAGTTTATATTAACATTACAGTGGTTTTATCTCTCTTCCCTCAGTGTTGGTGGTAAAAAGGTAAGTTTATATTAACATTACAGTGGGCTTATCTTTCTTCTCTGAGAGTTAATGGTAAAAAGGTAAGTTTATATTAACATTACAGTGGTTTTATCTCTCTTCCCTCAGTGTTTATGGTAAAAAGGTAAGTTTATATTAACATTACAGTGGGCTTATCTTTCTTCTCTGAGAGTTAATGGTAAAAAGGTAAGTTTATATTAACATTACAGTGGTTTTATCTCTCTTCCCTCAGTGTTGGTGGTAAAAAGGTAAGTTTATATTAACATTACAGTGGTTTTATCTCTCTTACCTCAGTGTTAATGGTAAAAAGGTAAGTTTGTATTAGCATTACAGTGGTTTTATCTCTCTTACCTCAGTGTTAATGGTAAAAAGGTAAGTTTGTATTAACATTACAGTGGGCTTATCTTTCTTCTCTGAGTGTTAATGGTAAAAAGGTAAGTTTATATTAACATTACAATGAGTTTATCTGTCTTCTCTGACAATTTAACCTGTAACATGACTGTCCAGATCTAGAGGCCATAATCTGTCAGCAGTTTATCTAGTTATATAAACCTGTAACATGAATGTCCAGATCTAGAGGCCATAATCTAACAGCAGTTTATCTAGTTATGTAAACCTGTAACATGAATGTCCAAATCTAGTGGCCATAATCTGTCAGCAGTTTATCTAGTTATATTAATCTGTAACATGACTGTCTTAATCTAGAGGCTTTAATCTTTCAGCAGTTTATCTAGTTATATAAATCTGTAACATGATTGTCCAAATCTAGAGGCCATAATCTGTCAGCAGATTATCTAGTTATATAAATCTGTAACATGATTGTCCAAATCTAGAGGCCATAATGTTTCAGCAGATTATCTAGTTATATAAATCTGTAACATGATTGTCCAAATCTAGAGGCCATAATCTGTCAGCAGATTATCTAGTTATATAAACCTGTAACATGTATGTCCAGATCTAGAGGCCATAATCTTTCAGCAGATTATCTAGTTATATTAATCTGTAACATGATTGTCCAAATCTAGAGGCCATAATGTTTCAGCAGATTATCTAGTTATATAAATCTGTAACATGATTGTCCAAATCTAGAGGCCATAATCTGTCAGCAGATTATCTAGTTATATAAATCTGTATCATGATTGTCCAAATCTAGAGGCCATAATCTTTCAGCAGATTATCTAGTTATATAAATCTGTAACATGATTGTCCAAATCTAGAGGCCATAATCTGTCAGCAGATTATCTAGTTATATAAATCTGTAACATGATTGTCCAAATCTAGAGGCCATAATGTTTCAGCAGATTATCTAGTTATATAAATCTGTAACATGATTGTCCAAATCTAGAGGCCATAATCTGTCAGCAGATTATCTAGTTATATAAACCTGTAACATGTATGTCCAGATCTAGAGGCCATAATATTTCAGCAGATTATCTAGTTATATTAATCTGTAACATGATTGTCCAAATCTAGAGGCTTTAATCTTTCAGCAGTTTATCTAGTTATATAAATCTGTAACATGTATGTTCAGATCTAGAGGCCATAATCTTTCAGCAGATTATCTAGTTATATTAATCTGTAACATGATTGTCCAAATCTAGAGGCCATAATCTTTCAGCAGATTATCTAGTTATATAAATCTGTAACATGATTGTCCAAATCTAGAGGCCATAATCTGTCAGCAGATTATCTAGTTATATAAATCTGTAACATGATTGTCCAAATCTAGAGGCCATAATCTTTCAGCAGATTATCTAGTTATATAAATCTGTAACATGATTGTCCAAATCTAGAGGCCATAATCTGTCAGCAGATTATCTAGTTATATAAATCTGTAACATGATTGTCCAAATCTAGAGGCCATAATGTTTCAGCAGATTATCTAGTTATATAAATCTGTAACATGATTGTCCAAATCTAGAGGCCATAATCTGTCAGCAGATTATCTAGTTATATAAACCTGTAACATGTATGTCCAGATCTAGAGGCCATAATCTTTCAGCAGATTATCTAGTTATATAAATCTGTAACATGATTGTCCAAATCTAGAGGCCATAATCTGTCAGCAGATTATCTAGTTATATAAATCTGTAACATGATTGTCCAAATCTAGAGGCCATAATCTTTCAGCAGATTATCTAGTTATATAAATCTGTAACATGATTGTCCAAATCTAGAGGCCATAATCTGTCAGCAGATTATCTAGTTATATAAACCTGTAACATGTATGTCCAGATCTAGAGGCCATAATATTTCAGCAGATTATCTAGTTATATTAATCTGTAACATGATTGTCCAAATCTAGAGGCTTTAATCTTTCAGCAGTTTATCTAGTTATATAAATCTGTAACATGTATGTCCAGATCTAGAGGCCATAATCTTTCAGCAGATTATCTAGTTATATTAATCTGTAACATGATTGTCCAAATCTAGAGGCCATAATCTTTCAGCAGATTATCTAGTTATATAAATCTGTAACATGATTGTCCAAATCTAGAGGCCATAATCTGTCAGCAGATTATCTAGTTATATAAATCTGTAACATGATTGTCCAAATCTAGAGGCCATAATCTTTCAGCAGATTATCTAGTTATATAAATCTGTAACATGATTGTCCAAATCTAGAGGCCATAATCTGTCAGCAGATTATCTAGTTATATAAATCTGTAACATGATTGTCCAAATCTAGAGGCCATAATGTTTCAGCAGATTATCTAGTTATATAAATCTGTAACATGATTGTCCAAATCTAGAGGCCATAATCTGTCAGCAGATTATCTAGTTATATAAACCTGTAACATGTATGTCCAGATCTAGAGGCCATAATCTTTCAGCAGATTATCTAGTTATATAAATCTGTAACATGATTGTCCAAATCTAGAGGCCATAATCTGTCAGCAGATTATCTAGTTATATAAATCTGTAACATGATTGTCCAAATCTAGAGGCCATAAAGTTTCAGCAGATTATCTAGTTATATAAATCTGTAACATGATTGTCCAAATCTAGAGGCCATAATCTGTCAGCAGATTATCTAGTTATATAAACCTGTAACATGATTGTCCAAATCTAGAGGCCATAATGTTTCAGCAGATTATCTAGTTATATAAATCTGTAACATGATTGTCCAAATCTAGAGGCCATAATCTGTCAGCAGTTTATCTAGTTATATAAACCTGTAACATGTATGTCCAGATCTAGAGGCCATAATATTTCAGCAGATTATCTAGTTATATTAATCTGTAACATGATTGTCCAAATCTAGAGGCTTTAATCTTTCAGCAGATTATCTAGTTATATAAATCTGTAACATGATTGTCCAAATCTAGAGGCCATAATCTTTCAGCAGATTATCTAGTTATATAAATCTGTAACATGATTGTCCAAATCTAGAGGCCATAATCTGTCAGCAGATTATTTAGTTATATAAATCTGTAACATGAATGTCCAGATCTAGAGGCCATAATCTGTCAGCAGTTTATCTAGTTATATAAATCTGTAACATGAATGTCCAGATCTAGAGGCCATAATCTGTCAGCAGATTATCTAGTTATATAGATCTGTAACATGATTGTCCAAATCTAGAGGCCATAATCTTTCAGCAGATTATCTAGTTATATAAACCTGTAACATGAATGTCCAAATCTAGAGGCCATAATCTGTCAGCAGTTTATCTAGTTATATAAATCTGTAACATGAATGTCCAGATCTAGAGGCCATAATCTGTCAGCAGTTTATCTAGTTATATTAATCT